AGTTCCTGAAGTCCCAGCATTCAATTCATTAGCATAAGAGTACCTGGTCTCCCTTTAGACCAGCCAGAGCACACTGCCATTTCCTAACTATTCATGTCTTCTGTCACTCTAAAATAAGTACAAGCACCTCCTTTAGACAATTTTTTAAAAAATAAGACATGCCTAGTACTAATAACTAAGTACTAATAACGAAGTACTAAGACTTACCTAGTATTAATAATCAGCTGTTTACACAGGAGAAAATGAGGTTTTCTGCTCCCATAAAGATTTACAGCCTTAGAAACCCTACAGGGTTGCTATGAGTCGGAACCGACTCCATAGCACATAACAACAACAACAACAAGTACTAATAAAAGTATGTTGTTGTTGTTGTTAAGTGCTGTCGAGTCGGTTCCGACCCATAGCGACCCTGTACAGGGTTTCCGAGGCTGTAAATCTTTACGGGAGCAGAACGCCTCATCTTTCTCCCGCGGAGCGGCTGGTAGTTTCGAACTGCTGGCCTTAAGGTTCGCAGCCCGATTCGTAACCACTACGCTACCAGAGCTCCTTTTAATAAAAGTATAGTGGTTTATAAAATTATAAAACCTAGATGCCCACCACCATCATCATCTAAGTATTAATTGGACAAAGTCTTCCCATTTGGAAGTGGGTGACCAAAGTCCTCTCATTTGGGGCCCTGTCTTATCAAAGGAAGCGCCACTCTTTTGCCTACAGCTGTCTCCCTACCCTGGTCCTCTAGGACAAGATGCTTGAATGACTAAAGATGGACCAAGGAGCAGATGGGAGACTTAAAGAGACCCATTTCCTCCTCATCCAACTCTACTTGCCTCCTTTTTATTTCATATAAGAAACATGCTTAAACATCAATTAAGCCAATGCAGTGGTGTGCTAGAACTTGCTCCTATAGAGAAGTAAAAGTCAATTATGTGCATCTCTTCTCAACTCCACACTCAGTGACATAAAGATGATAGTTTGAAACCTGCCTTGGAGGGAGAGTTTACATCATGGTAATCAGTAACCATCTGTGGAAGGAGATGATGGAAAACCTCAATATCTACAGAACAGAACCAGGGGCTGACTGCAAAACAAACTGTCAATTGCTCATGTGCAAATTCAAGTTGAAGCCAAAGAAAATTAAAACAAATCCATGAGAACCAAAATACATCCTTGAATATATCCCACCTGAATTCAGAGAATATCTCAAGAGTAGATTTGATGCACTGACACTAAGAGTTGGAAATCAGACGAGTTATGAAATGACATAAAAAATATCATGCATGAAGAAAGCAAAAGACCATTAAAAAGGAAAGAGCATACCAAACCAATGTCATAAGAGACTCTGAAACTTGCTCTTAAATGTAAAATGTTGTTAAGTGTCATTGAGTCAACTCCAATACAGGGTTTCCAAGGAATAGCTGGTGGATTTGAACCACCAATTCTATGGTTAGCAGGCCATTGTTTATCCTATAGCAACATATCAGGACTCCAAATGTAGAATAGCAAAAGGAAGAAATTATCAAGTGAAAGGCTGAACAGAAGATTTTGAAGTGTAGTTTGAGAAGACAATGTAAAGTATTATAAATGAAGTGTGTAAAGACCTGGAATTAGGAAACCAAAAGGGAAGAACATGCTTGAAATTTCTCAAGCAGAACTGAAGAAAAAAATCCAAGACTCAAGTTACAATTTTGAACAATCTATGGGCAAAATATTAAGTTACACAGGATGCATCAAAAGAAGATGGAGGAATATAGAGTCCCTATACCAAACAAATTGTGTGATGCTCCGCTATTTCAAGAATTTGCTTATGATCAAGAAGCGCTGACACTGAAGGAGGAAGTATAAGCTACACTGGAGGCATTGTTGAAAAACAAGGCTCCAGGACTTGATGGAATATAAATTGAAATGTTTCAACGAATCGATGCTCACTCGGCTATGCCAAGAAATTTGGAAGACAGCTAACAGAATGAAGATACACTCACATTCATGCCCATTCCAAAGAAAGGTGATCCAACAGAATGTGGAAATTACCAAAGAATATCATTAATACAGAAACCAAGTAAAATTTAGCTAAAAATAATTCCAAAACGATTTCAGCAGTATATTGACAGGGAACTGCCAGAAATTCAATCCAGATTCAGAAAAGGATAGGGAAGGAGAGCTATCATTGCTGATAGCAGATGGATCTTGGCTGAAAGCCAAGAAAACGAGAAAAATGTTTGCCTGTGTTTCATCGACTGTGCAAAGACATTTGACTGTGTGGCTCATAACAAATTATGAATTAACATTGCAAATAATAGAAATTCCAGAACACATTATTAATCTCATGTGGAACCTGTACATAGACCAGAGACAGTCATTCAAGCAGTACAAGGAGCTACTGTGAGGTTAAAAATCAAGAATGTCGTGTACCAGGCTTGTTACCTTTCATCTACTTACTCAATTTATGTGCTGACCAAATAATGCAAGAAGCTGGACTATATGAAGAACTCCGAATCCGGTTTAGAGGACGATTCATTAACAACCTGCAATATGCAAATGCTGAGAGCAGGGAAGTCTTGAAGCATTTGCTGGTGAAGATCAAAGACTACACAGACTTCAGTATGAAGTACATTTCAACATACAGAAAACAAAAATCCTCACAACTGGACCAATAAGCAATATCACCATAAATGGAGTAAAAAGTGCTGTCAAAGATTTCGTTTTACTTAGCTCCACAATCAATGCCAATGGAAGCAACAGTCAGGAAATCAAACACATACTGCATTGGGCAAATCTTCTACAGAATATCTCTTTAAAATGTTACAAAGCAAAGATGTCACTTCAGGGACTAAAGTGTGACTTACCTCAGCCGTAGTATTTTCAATCAGTTCATAAGCATGCAAAAGCTGTACATTGTATGCAATGAATAAGGAGGACCAAAGAAGAATTGATGTCTTTGAATTATGGTGTTGTTGAAGAGTATCAAATTTACCATGGAATTCCAGAAGAATGAATAAATCTGTGTTGAAAGTAGCACAGCTAGACATCTCCTCATAAGTGAGGATGGCAAGACTTTGTCTCATGTAATTTGGACATGTTATCAAGAGGAACCAGTCCCTAAAGAAGCATATCATACTTCAGAAAACTCTACCAAGTCCACAAAAAAGAAGACGGCCCTCAGAGAGATGGATTGACAGACACAGTGACTCCAACAGTGGGCTCAAACACAGGAGTGGTTGTGAGGATGACACAGGACTGGCCAATCTGTTCACTTGTCCATATGGTCAGTGTAGTACAGTGCAAGCAGACTACTGCATATGACTCGTACACCATATACGTCCACCAGGTTTTTCCTGATGGGCTGGGTAAAAAAAGGTCAGAGAAGATGCTGATAGTATGATATGATTCAGTTGTGATTGTTAACAGAATTAATTGTGATTGTAAAAGCCTGGAACTCTAATGTGGGTTTAAAATCAGCCATCTCAGAAGCAGGGGTGGAGGTTCTCATTGTCTCCAAAACAGAAAAGTTAGGAGTAGAGCTTGTCCTTTAGACCCAGAGATCTCTGCACAATGAACTACTTCAAACCAAGGACAGAAAGCTGTGACACCAAGGAATGGCAGAAGACAAGCATTAGCAAAACCAAAGAGCCAGAACAAAATACAAAGCAGTGCACATCCCAGCAAGTAAAGCTCAGAGACTTTGGGCAGGAAGAAAGCTTGCTTGCAGAACCAGGTGCCTCTAGGCATTTAATTGGGAGAGCTAGGCTTGCTAACTGGTGGAGCTAGATAGAACTGGGTGCCTTCAGGTTTAGACTTAGATTGGAGTGGTTGTCCTGTGAGCATACATTTGAATAATAGTGGTACTAATTGCTTTTCCTTGTAGGCATAGTGATACTATCCTATCACAGACAGATCTTGAAATGATTTTTTCTTACAAGGAATGTGATGGAATTCGTCTTCTTTTTGTTGTTCCCTGCATAGTAAACCATAGAAATAGCTGATTCAAAATGGCCAATACCAGTTCATTTCAGCTCAGTAATGTCTAGGATAACTGATCTTTATGTGTTCAGTTTCATTTTTGACGACTTCCAATTTTCTTAGAGTCATACTGTGTGTACATTGCCTATTCCAGTTAGTAGTAGATGTTTGCAGCTGTTTCTTCCCATTATGAAATTATGCCACATCAGCAAATGAAGGTACTGAAATCTTTGCTCCATTCATCTCAACACTACTCTAAGGAGGCAGGTCTCCACCAACTACATTCTGAGTGCCTTCCTACTTGAGGACCTCCTTTTCTGGCACTAAATCTGACAATGTCCTACTGCTATTCAAAAGTTTTCAATGGTTAACCATTCAAAGGTGGTCCGGTTCTCTTCCTTCCTAGTCTGAAAACTCTACTGAAACCTATCCACCGTGGGTGACCCTGTGGCAATGCTTCCAGCATCACAGCAACACACAAGACACCGCAGAAAAACCAACTGACGGATGAGTGGTGGCTGACACACACTCGGGTTCACCATGGATCCCAGTTTGTCCTCAATTGGGAATCTGTGAAATTATAAACTGGATTTTTTTTTTCTTTTGTTTCAAAGTCAATTTAGCAGCACACCACTAGACAGATCCTTAATAATCAAATTCTTACACTGATTTTATCATAGGAATGAAACTCGGGAACACTACATACATATTAATTCATATATTTTCATTTTACTATCTAAATTCGGGAGGATATGCCAACTTAAAATCAGAAGAGATTTGATCCAGAAGGTTTCCAAAAGCCAGATTTTACATAAAACGACATGGATTTTCATTTCTTATACCAACTGGTAATTTATAGGTAGCCTCACCTGTGTTATTTTCATTGAAGTCTTGCAGCAATATGATTCTTTAACTCATTATTGCAGGAATTGGGCCGTCGTCATAATTACCATTTCTTTGGATTGTAGAATATTTTCTCATTCATGTTTCATTAACCGGGTGGGTGCCACCTTTGCTGACTGGCTCTTTTGTGCACTCTGCAGGACCGCACACGCAAGGGCTAAAGCTGATGCCGCTGACCAGGCTGCACTGGCCGCCCGCCAGGAATGCGATATCGCGAGAGCTGTGGCCAGGGAGCTGTCTCCTGATTTCTACCAACCAGGTAAGAGTTTTCCTCTGATGAGAGAGGTATGAGCAAAGCTGTTGGCCTTTAGTTTCCTTTTGTCAATTCTTTTTCCTAGGTCATCATTCTTTATTTATCTGTGCATGTTAAGTCTCAGCAATACTAGGAAACAAGTGGGAGAACATGGTAACAAATATCTGAAGTCTAAGTGTAGCCCTGGATACTTGGGTTCTTCATCTGTGTATCTCCCCTTACCCCTTTCCCTATCCCTGTCAGCAACACAAACTGCTGATAGCAGTAAACAAAACCAGAATCGAAAAGAAGTTTCTGATTTTAAGAAATTATGTTAGTGACGGTGGTGGTGGTTATGTGCAGTAGAGTTGGTTCCAACTCATAGCAACCCTGTATAGGATTTCCGAGGATATAAATCTTTACAGGAGCAGAACGCCTCGTCTTTCTCCCACGGAACCACTGGTAGTTTCGAACTGCTGACCTTGAGGTTGCCAGCCCGACTCATAACCACTACGCTACCAGAGCTCCTTTGCTAGTGACAGTACACTGCTATAATTAACCCAAACCCACTGCCATGGAGTCAGTTCCAACTCATAACAGCCCTGTATCGATTGCCAACACTCTCAGTCTTTATAGGAGCAGACAGCTTAATCTGTCTTTCACAGAGCAGCTGGTGGATTTGAACCACTGCACTATAGTTAGCAGCCCACAATGCCAACAGGACTTATTAGTGTGGCGCTGCAGGCTGCTAACTACAGGGTTGGTGGTTCAAATCCACCAGCTGCTCTGAAAAAGATAGATGAAGCTGCCTGTCTTTTGCAGAGCAGCTGGTTAATTCGGTAGACTGCAAGGTCTGTGGTTTAAGCTCACCAGTCACTCCTTGGAAACACTATACAGGGTCACTATGAGTCAGAACTGACTTGACAGCACTTAACAGCAACAATATACTAGAGGTGGTGGTGGTTATGTACCATGGAGTTGGTTCTAACTTATAGTGACCCTGTATAAGTTTTCACATGCTATAAATCTTTATAGGAGCAGAAAGTCTCATCTTTCTCCCCCCAGGCAGCTGGTGGAGTTACATTGTTGACCATGCAGTTAGCAACCCAGCTCGTAACCTATTCTACTACCAGGAATCCTTAGTGGTGGTGGTGGTTCTTAAGTGCTATCAAGTCAGTTCCGACTTATAGAAACCCTGTATAGGGTTTCCAAGGAGCTGCTTGTGGGTTTGAACCACTGACCTTGTAGTTTACAATCTAGTGTTGATCCTGTAGTGCCACACCAGGACTCCTAGGTACTACACTTGTTGTTATGTGCCATCAAGTTGGTTCCGACTCATAGCAACCCTATATAGAGTTACCAAGGAGTGGCTGGTGAGTTTGAACTGCCGACCCTGCAGTCCAAGCCAACCTTGCGGTCCAGTGCTGTATCCCATAGCAGGATACCAGGACTCCAAATATCCCAAATCCAGAGGCACCTACAACACTAACATTAGTAGTATGAAAAGAGCCAGTATTCGGACTATTGTTTCTTTAAAGTTCAAAGAGTGTGATGAAGAGATAAAGCAAAATGCCACTTAAAGACCATTGCACGGATCAGTAGAAAAATGTATATCCTGATGGAAGAAATGGAAATGACAACCTCTAAAAAATGTTTCTTGGTTATCTCCCTCTAAAATGTTACAAGATAGCAATAAATATTTGCAGTAGATTTAGAAACTCACTTCCTGATAGTTTCCTTGTTGACTGTTTTCATCCCTTTCTTTAATAAACCGGTTTTTAAATATTGTATTTCAAAATGACTATAGTCACTTTCTCCATTTTTAATAAACAATCTTCTTCATAATTTTTTGAGGTACCAACTAATTTCTAGGTGAAGTTGTTGTGTTGTTAGGTGCCATCCAGTTGGTCTGACTCAGAGCGACCGTATGCACAACATGACGAAACACTGCCCAGTGCTGCTCCATCCTCACAAATGTTGTTACACTTGGATCCATTATTGCTGCTGCTGTACGGATACATCTCAGTGGGATCTGCCACTCTGCTTCACTGGCCCTCCACTTTACCAAGCACAATGGTCCCTCCTGACAAAATGTCCAAATTACAATAGACGAAGTCTCATCATCCTTGTTTCAAAGGAGCTTCCTGGCTGGACTCTTAAGACAGATTTGTTAGTTCTCCTGGAAGCCCATGATACTTCGAATATTCTTAAACCAACACAAAATTCAGTTAAAGAGCTATGATCTTATTCATTGTCTCAACTTTCATGTGCATATGAGGCAATTGAAAATACATGGCTTGGGTCAGGTGTACCTTAGTCCTCAAACTGACATCTTTGCACTTGAACACTTTAATGAGGTCTTTTATGTAACATGTCTTTTAATGTCTTGACTGCTGGTTCCATGAGAATTGATTGTGGATCCCCGCAGAAGTGAAGTCCTTGACAACTTCAATCTTTTCTCTATTTATCATGATGTTATCTTTTGGTACAATTATGAGGATTTTTATTTTCTTTACCTTGAAGTGCAATCCATACTGAAGACTGTATGTAGCCTTTGATCTTTATCAATAAATATTTCAAGTCTTCTTTGCTTTAGCAAGCAAGGTTGTATCATTTGTCTATCTCTGGTAGTTAATGAGCCTTCCTGCAATTCTGATTCCACATTCTTAATATAATCCAGTGTCTCTGATTGATGACTCAGTATGCAGATTGAATAAGTATGGTGAAAGGTTACAACCCTAGCACACCCTTTTCCTGATTTTAAACCACTCAGTATCCCGTTCTTTTGATAAAACGACTACCTCTTGGTCAATATACAGGTTTCTCTTGAACACAATTAAGTGTTCTTTATTAATGCCCATTCTTTAAAATGTTATCTTTAGTTGGTTAAGTGAAGAGCCCTCATCAAACTTCTAAATTCTTAAATGTCAAAATTCTATTGGTAAGTATTTTCCATATTTTTTGTGTGTGTGTTTTGTTTTGAGTAAAGCACTCAGGACCTTCATTTGCTGATGGAGCACGACTCAAAATGAAAAGAAATAGCTATAAATATCTGTTAATAATCAGAACATGGATTGTACCAAGTATGAATCTAGGAAAACTTTATCTCTCAAACTCTGGACAAATTATCAGAAGGAACTAGTCACTGGAGAAGTCTATTGTGTGGTAAAGTGGAGGGTCGGAGATAGATTGGCACGGTGGCAGCAGCGATGGGCTCAGGCATAGCAACAATTATGAGGTTGGCACAGGACCAGGCAGTGTTTCATTCTGTTGTGCATAGGGTCGCTATGAGTTGTACCAACTGCGTAGATAGCATCCAGGATTTTCACTGCCTCCATGTGCCACTCTGGAAACATCTCAACTGTAAAAGTGAACAATGCTTGGGAGGTTATCATCACAGACAGGTCACGGCACATGAGTGGGTGGTCTGCATCATAATCCTTTGCTTTATATGTCTTCACTAAACCTGAAACTGGATAGGACGTTCTATGGCTTTTCCGATATTTAGCAACAATCTGCAGTGCATACACTGCCCACTGTCACTGATTGGGTTGCTGCCCTGATATGCTGGTCGAGTGATAGGACTGAAAAGGAAGAGGCTCTGCAGGTGGTAGGGGAGGGCAGTGTAGGACTCCAGGGCCTGGCAAAGCACATCGAAGCCACTGCTAGCCACTGCGCAGTGAGGCATGTGAAGTGTAAGGAGAGGGTCAAGCAATCCCAGTGTGGGTTTGATGGTTCTTGAAGCAATGCCAGTTTTTACTTTCAAGTGTTGATAGTCAAAAATGGCCACCTCTGTAGTTTCTCTCCTGATTCCTGAAGTAGCTGGGTCTGTACTCAGAGGGTTCAGAGGCCCGGACACAGGCTTTCCCTTCCCAGTGGGAGCATTGATATAATCTAGGGCCTTAGAGTGATGGCTGGAGGAACACAGTTCCTTCTTTCTTGCCTTCTTTGTGACTTTTTACTTTCTTCTTGTATGACATTCTTGATGTCATCCCACAACTCTTCTGGTGTTCCGTCATTAGTGTCTAATGTATCGAATCTGCTCTTGAGATGATCTTTATATTCAGGTAGGATACATTCAGGATAATTTCTTAAGCATCAGCCTGAACTTGCATATGAGCAATTCATGGTCTGCTCCATTGTCTGCTCCTGGCCTTGTTTTCACTGATGATACAGGGCTTTTCCACCATCTTGGTCTCTTTTTTTTTTTTTTTTTTTTTGCCACTGTCCCTTCCCATAGATATAGTTAGTTTGATTTCTGTGTATTCCAATTTGTGATTGATGATTTTTAGTGAAATTAAAGCACACTTCCTGATGCTAATGGCAGGTGCCCTGCTGGCACAGTGGGTTAAGCATTGGGCTGCTAACCTCAGGGTCAGCACTTCAAATCCACCAGCCACTCTGTGAGTGAAAAATGAAACAGTCTGCTTCTGTAAAAATTTACAGTCTCAGAAAACCAATGAGATAGGCATCTACTCCATCGTGTAGTTAATTAACATCGACTCAATGGCTGTGTATTTGGGATTTTTTTGATTCGGTACCAATGTACATCAATAAACACCAGTTCCAAAGCGTAAGAACTACAGAAAGCATTCAGCTACCCAAGAGTGATTGTTCTGTTCCTCCTTAGCAGTACTGTCCTTGTGAAAAACCACTGCAAAAAGAGACAATGCCCTATCATGAAAGAGTACTGGGTTTGAACTATTTGAAAGAAAATAAGCTTCCTGTTGTTGTCTGTAGATGGTAATTTCTTAGTTGTGAATTCTGCTGAAGAATGGAGCCTCTATAGCTCTCCATGAGGTGTTATAAGAGGTAAATGATACGAGAGGTCATCTCAATTGCCCAAACTAAATGGCTTTAAAAAGCCTTTTAAAAGCATTTGAGGCGGGGAAAATATTGTGGGAAATGCAATTCCGCCCTTTCTTAGCTAGAACAGGTGGTCTGTCAGTAATGAACCCATCATAGCAGCGTGAGATGACAAGGAGTCTATTTAAGACAAGAGCTATGGGTAGAGACTACAGTTCCCT